GCAGTGCAACTCTTCCAGGATGGCACATTAATACATGCCATTGCCAGAAGGTTTGCTGTGTCTACCAGCACAGTCTCAAGAGCATGGAGGAGATTCCAGGAGACAGGCAGTTACTCTAGGAGAGCTGGACAGGGCTGTAGAAGGTCCTTAAAGTGGAGTTCCACTCAAAAGCAAAGTGGAAGCTCTAGTGGGCAATGTGCTCACTGCCCGGCACCATAGAGCTTGATTGGCATTTGCCATTAGAACACCAGAATTGTCAGGTCCACCACTGGTGCCCTGTGCTTTTCACAAATGAGAGCAGGTTCACCCTGAGCACATGTGACAGACATGAAAGGGTCTGGAGAAGCCGTGGAGAATGTTATGCTGTCTGTAACATCGTTCAGCACGACCGTTTTGGTGGTGGGTCAGTGGTCTGGGGAGGCATATCCATGGAGGGACACACAGATCTCTACAGGCTAGACAATGGCAACATGACTGCCATTAGGTATCAGGATAAAATCCTTAGACCCACTGTCAGACCCTACGCTGGTGCAATGGGTCCTAGATTCCTCCTAGTGCATGACAATGGCTGGCTTCTTGTGGCGAGAGTATGCAGGCAGTTCCTGGAGGATGAAGCAATTGATAGCATTGAATGGCCCCCACGCTTGCCTGACCTAAATCTAATAGGACACCTCTGGGATATCATGTTTTGGTCCATCCGCTGCCACCAGGTTGCACCTCACTGTCTAGATGCTCAGTGATGCCCTGGTCCATATCTGGAAGTACCCCAGGACACCATCCGTCGTCTCATTAGAAGCATGCCCGACGTTGTCAGGCATGCATACAAGCATGTGGGGGCCATACAAACTACTGAGTATCATTTTGGACTAGCCTGCTGCATCATTTTTTTCCTTTGATTTTCGGGGCGTGTTTGCATTCAGTCCTCTGTAGGTTGATCATTTTCATCATAAATTTAATCAAACAATGTGGCATCCTTATGTTCCTAACACATTATCCAGTCCATATCAGTATAGATATCCAGCATATTTTTTCCCATTGAGATCTGATGTGTTTTCAAAGTGTTCCTTTCATTTTTTTTGAGCAGTGTATCAACTGGAAAAATAAAGCCCCTCCAAATACACCATGTTAAACTAATAAAACCCTGCAAGGAATGTGGTGCTCTTTCAGCAGGAACCCTGTCTTTTACTCAGATTCAGGAAGTGAAAGAGTTCTAGCAGACAAATTTTGAGGTGTGTTTTCAGCTAAACCTGGCCAAACTAAAGTAATTTACCATGACACTGTGATTAAGCCTCATGCCAAAGTAAAGTTGGATCTGATCAGGTACCGGAAGCTCAGGGAAACGCCATTTCCAATAAGGTACAGAAATTGGTAGCCCACTGGGGCTAGAAATCAGGAAAATCTAACAGCAAGAGCACAAGTCCCATAGTATACATCCCTAAACCTGGATGCCAGCGTTAGACTCTGCAATGACTCTGTAGCCAGGTGCTTGGCTAAATATGGAGTGAAACATTGGCTGCAGCTGCTCTTTGTAGCTCCTGCCTTGCGGTGCTGAACTCGTTAATAGTTATATCAGGAAGAGTTCAATGAGTCAAGCAGCAATGCACTGTGGGAACTGAAAGACTCAAGAGCTTCTGAACTGCATTTCCCAGAGGGAGATTGCCAGGAGGGGAAAGAAATTCATTTTGTAAAGCTGTACAGAACTTAGCTTCCTCTTGCCATGAAGGAGCCCAGAGACTGCACATTGCTGTCCAATGTGCACCACCACTGCATAATGGCAGCCTGAGCAGAATCCGGAGTACTGTGTACAGGTGTGCCAATAGCCAGTCACCTCGGTGCAGAGTAGAGAGCTGACAGACCTGTGTGACAGGATGGTGAGCTGCTGTTGTGAGGAATCTACCATCTGCTGCCAGAGATTGAGCCCTTTAGGAACTGACCGTACAGCCATCTAGTAGCACTATAGCTGCCTGCAGGCTTGACGGGGACTATTCTCATGCGCACCTACAGTACCATTGGGCCCCAACACTAGCTGGCTGAAAAGTTTGGACTAGACTGTTCCTTTCAGGGACATTGCACCATATCCTAGAGTGCAGTCTAGATTAGATACAGTATTTTTATTTACATTGCAGTTTAGGATTATATGAACTGCTTATTGCCGATTAAGAGCTGATTCTAGTCTAGTGGTACAGCTCTCTAACCTAAGTCAACTTGGCCTAGAGATCACATTGTTTAGCAGACTGTTTGAATCTTTCCTCTACGTGCTCATTTATGTTCAATCCACTATTTACTCCAACCCATACTAATGAATTGAGTTAATTTACCACTTGTGTCTATTTCCCGGTGATAATTCACAGTCAAGTTAGAGGTATCCTAATAGTGCTTGCAGTAACTTTCATTCAACCAGGTGTGTCAGAGGTTGTTTTGGAGTCAAACAATAAAACAGAGAATCCAAATTACCAAGCAGCTCCTTCGGGAATAGTACTATAGTGTATACTACAGATTGATGTAATGATCAAACAAGACACGTATAGCCAGGAACTGGTATGTGAAAGTTACAAGGAAATCCTCTCTTAACCTTGTTTAGGTCTTTGGTCCTGTCCAATTATTTGTCTATCATGGTGGTACCCCTAAAGGTGTCTTCTGGGTGCCACAAGAATGGGCCACAGCCCTGGACCTGAATAGCACATTGCAACTAACTACACTGCACCACATGCTGAGGTGAGCACTAAATGGTGGAATTTGGTGCCTGAAACAAACTTTACAGGCTGGCCTTGCTGCAGCGGGGTCTGGGTATAGTTTCCAAGGTTTACACAAAGGGGGTTATTTACTAAAGCTGGAGAGTCCAAAATCAGACTCCCTTCTGCATAGAAACCAATCAGCTTCTAACCTCAGCTTGTTCAATGAAGCTTTGGCAATGAAACCTGGAAGCTGATTGGTTTCTATGCAAAAGGGAGTCTGATTTTGGACTCTCCAGCTTTAGTAAATAAACCCCAAAGGGTCAACTACCTAGAAACTGCTAGTGAGCTATAGGCTTTAAAAAGATTGGGTAAGATAAAGCTTACACTATTGGGCCCACATCTTATCTGTACTAGTGTTGCTTGTTTGTTTAAGGGAACACCTTGGTAAGAACAGACCTAAGTTTAGTTAGCGGCTCAGATGATCAGTTGCTTGGACTATCAGTCTTGTGTGTATTTTACGGCTGCCAATACCAATTGAGCATGTCCTCTTAAATTACCTGTTTCTGGCAACAGTTTTCTCCAAATGTGCCTAACTGAGGTTTAAAGTGGAAGTCCAGGCTAAACCAATCACACGCCTGAACCAGAGCACTCTGAGAATAGGCAAGTATAGACATCTTTCCTTTGGACTTACCTCTAAATTCTGGATCTTGGCATACAGTACAGGATAATGGTAGGATATTCATAGATATTGAGTTATAGGCTGCTACCTTCAGGTGGCTGGATGCTGGAAAGGTTTTTGGACAAGCGCAAACCCACCCCCCCACCCCGGTTGGGCATACCCCTATAACACTACCCCACTCTTCATAGACCCTCGGACTACTCCAAGCAGTAAATCAGGATGGTAGGCAAAACAAGGCAAGCAGAATCATGCCAACAAAACAAAAAAAGGGTCTCTGATTAATTCTACAATAGATCCCTTAATAAACAATTAAGAAAAATGTGAATTTTGTTTTTTTTATATATATATATATATATATATATATATTTATTAACAAGAAAAAGCACAGCCATTGTTCACAGTGCTTTAGAACCAGGTACAAAGCCTCTCTACCTGAATAGAAGACAATAAAAACAGACAGCTGTTATAACTGTAACACTATTCTCCCCGGTAAATGCTTTTATGTAAATAATTGCCTTTTGGGGCTAGACTTCTGGTTCTGTTCCTGCAACTAAAAATCTTTAGCTCTATTATCCCATGTACCTACTGTGCATGCCAAGATGTTACAGAGGCTGTCATCATACATTTTATATTTACAAAAGAAAAGGCCAGTTTTATCACATGGTTTATTTTTATTGCTCAGGGCAAAGAACAGAACTCTTATTCCCAACTGGGAGCAAACGTGGAAAATAGAAAACTCTCAAATATCCATCAGGTGCCACCTATAGGTGGCATATAAAGGTCAATGCTTGCAATTAGGGTGACCTTCCACATGCTGACATGGCTTCATTTACTGCATTGTGTGTCCTGTTAACAAAGAAATCACAAGAACTTGGGTAACAGTTAACTTTTTTAAATCCCTGTTTAGAACTCCAACTACAAAAAGGAAACTGGAAGCCATTGTAGTGATCCATTCCTCCTGCACTAAATCTGTATGAAGACCGTGGAAGAGGGTGGCAAATTTAGTTAGATGAAGCTAGTACTGCCTGGATGCCAGACACTGCTTTTGGTTCTATGGATGTCAGATCACCCCTGCTGGTCTGTCCATGAATGCCTTTTTTGTATTTTATTTAAACTTCCAACTCCTTTGGTCAGAGCCAGGCTCTCTCCTCCCAAGCCAGTGTTTGAAAGATGGCCATTCCTTCTCTGTTTAGATGATCCAACTTAAGCAGCGTCTTTCTTCACTTAACGTCCAGCGCAGGTGAACACAATGTGGCTCCAAGGACTGGTTCAACATATAAACTGTTCTAATACAAACAGAGCGGTGGATAGGAGGGACAACTGCTTAAACCTTTTTTCCCCATCTGTTAACAAAGTGGTCTTCTATTCAGGCCACATTTCTTCAACATTTTCCAAGATGCCTCGTCCAGCACCTCATATATACTCTTTTCTGTATACAGTATATTTATATATTAAAAGGAGACGGAAAAGGGAGCTCACTTTTTTTTCATTCCCCCTTCCATTTTCTCACCTTTGGAGAAAACAAAAACCAGAACTTTTTATTTATAAAATAAAACAGAGGAAAAAAAAAAACAGTTCAAAAACTCAAGGGAAAGGAGGCACTCGTCACTGCCTCTTCTCCAACTCCAGTGCACTCATAACCAGTCTTATCTTTGTGCATCCATGGCCGTCATGGCTTTCTGTGGGCCCCCTGAAGGCTGGGAGGTAGGGGGCCATGCAGGCTGTGCATGATGGTGGTGGTGATGGAGATGTGTGGTGGGAGAGGCTGGGGGAAGCCAAACAGGTTGTTGGTTTGGTGGAGAGGAGGCCCAGTGTGGGCTGAAGTTGCCTGGAGGGGAGCAGGCATTTGAGGTGGCTGGACTGCTGCTGTTCTGTAAGCTCTCAGAGGTACGCAGCTTTGAAAACATGGCTAAAGCATCAGGGAAGTTGGGCGGAGTGGCTGGTGTGTTGCTTGGTGTACACATCTGCAAAATAAAACAACAAAAATACATTAATAAAATGGATATGCATGCTTGGAATTCATATTTCAAGAAACCAAACAATTCAAGTTTTAGTCATTGCTCATACATTTTAGAGGGATTCTTTTTTCATTATGCAGGCCTGAGCCACAGAGAAAAAGGTCAGCATGTACCACAAAAGTAGCTGCTTCCGTAATGAAATTGGCAAAGGGGAGAATTAGTGGTGCACTGAAATGAAAATTCTGGTCCCAAAAATTCAGAATGCATGTGGCCGAAAACCAAACCGCACCGAAACCAAAATGTCAGCGTATGTTGGAGGGGGGGTTGAAGGCTCCAATTTTTTTTTTATACTTTCATGTATATTTTTATTTTTTTTAACTTATGGATTTTATTGCTATCACATAGGGGACCAATAGTCACCTATGTGATAGCATATGATTGACAGGTCCTGTGGGGGGTGGAAAGAGGAGCAGTGGAGGGGGCAGGAGAGGAGCAGTGTATACAGGGCGGCTCCGTTATTGGCTGTAACTATATGTTGGTGCCGATTTTTAAATGCAATTGCCATAATTTTTTTCTCCTTCACTATAGCTCACAGAACTAGCTGTCCCCTTCCCCAGAGCTAAAGGAAACAGTTTCTTTTCTGCAGTACACACAGTCCCCTGTATCAGCTAAATTTTTCCTATCGGCAAAATGCCAATACGGCTGTTTTCGACCGATGTGGATCGGTGGCTGAAATTTCAGTGCATCCTTACGGAGTATAATTACAGTTGGGACAAGATTTCTAACCCATTCTAGCAATCAGATTTGTCTCTGCAACAGCTAACCAGATGCTTCCTTTGTATATAATACCTAGTGATCCTGCCATTTCAAAATGTCTACACTAGGCATAGATGCACATCCTTCCCAGCATTGTCAATTTTCTGCCTGTGCTGGAAGAACAGCCTGTCTGTCCACCAGTGGCCAACACTGTGCAGGGGCTGACATACCCCCTGTACAGCTCTGCACTGGGAAAACAAAACAACACACACTATACACTTTTTGCCTCCTACTGACACCCCCCCCCCCTGCAGTCACCACTCTCAGCCTTCCAAGCCTCCTATGGAAAAGAGTTTATTATCTGCCTTGCATTACTATTCCAAACTGAATGGGTTGTTTTACAAGTAAGGGTTCACATAAACTTTAAATGCCTTCACACTCTTGAAGCGAAGAGAAGCACTTCCAGGTATTGGGAGCATGTGACGCTTTCCTCTGCTTTCTACCATGGGGAGCCGAGGGCTTAGCACTTGGCAGCACCTGGAATGTTGGTTCAAATCCCAACCACGGCACCACTTGCCTGGCCTTTGCATGTTCTCCCTGTGTGGGTTCCCTCCAGGTACTCCCATTTCCTCCCACACTTCAATGACATGCTGGTAGGTTAATTGGCTCCTGTCTAAACTGGCCCTAGTATGTGTATGTATGAATATAAGTTAGGGACCTAAGACTGTATGCCTCTTGAGGGTTAGGGATTGATGTGAACGTAATATATGTGTATATGTAAAGCGCTACATAAATTGATGGTGCTATATAAGTGCCTAAAATAAATAAATAAATGTGGTTTTAGGCCCTCACACTAAATATGTTTTTGTGGGTTTTTTTTTTTTTTTGTTTTGAAGCGCATTGAAGCGTGGTGTGTTAGCAAGCCCATTTAAAATTAATTGGATGCAAAGCACCTCAATGCACGTGAACACACACAGTTGAAGTCTGAATTTATTTTGAAGTCCAAATGAAGAAAAAAAAAAGGGGAGGGATGGCTGTGCTATGGTACACTATAGTGCATTTTGGATGGGCACTGGGGTGCAGAATGAATGGCTCTTCAGTACATCAATTTAAAAGAGACACATGGGTTATAAAAGAACAAACAATCAATCATACTCATCTAGGTGGCTGCAGAATTAGTGCGGTGTTGCATCTGTCCCCCGCTGGCTAAGACTGATCAGTAGTGTCTGATTGCTCAGTTCTCAGTCTTCAGTGTGCCAGCGACTGTCACTCACCAGCTGTCTGCTCTGCTCCTCAGCACCGAGCTGTGGAGGGTGCAGGAGCGGCTGGCTCAGTTTCCCAGTAGCACACAGAGGCTGAGCCTGGACAAACCAAGTGACATCAGCCAACAGCTTTAGCCTGCTGTTGGTGGAAAATGGATCACAGGAGTGCAAAATGAACTGCACTCCTGTGATCCCCAGAGGAAGTACAGCCAAATTAGCTTTGGCTATACTTTTTTTAAATATAGGTCTTGATAACACGCAGGTTGATTACACATTACTGCAATGTGATTGGTGTGAAAGGTCGTTTGTGTTGGGGTGCATTAGGTGTCCCTTCAAGTAAATGTTAACCGGACATTAGCCTACATTAACCATCCTCTATTTGTCTCTCCATGTCTTGGAGTATGGAGAAGCTATTTGCCCATGAATAGGATCCTGATGCACATAACACATCCTAGAGCCAGCAGAATGTAATAAAAAAAAAGACAATACAGCCACTCCTAAATGTTCCAGCCTCATCCCTGCACTGGAGGAGTTTGCTGATATAACTTCTCTGGTGTAAGGATGCAAATGACGCATCAGGAGCTGCTGTGATCATTTTATAACGTCCATGTGGTGTTGGTGATGCAACTGATGCATCAGAAGCCTTTCCCTGGTGACAGAAGGATATGTATTGGGCACCAAAGATCTAGACAGGACTAGGATTGCAGATCCGTCTGTTGTGCAATTTAGACCAGTGTATACCCTCATACTGACCATCACCACTCGCTGCTCACTGAAGACAGAGAAATGAGTGATCAGTGGTCTCTGATCTCTCAGGTCTTGGTCTTAGAGGTGGCAGAGGACAGATGCACCATCCACCTAGGTTGAGATCCAGAACTTCTCTTTTAAAGGTTAAAAAACAAAAACACCTTTCATCTTTAGAACCACTTTAAAATAAATACCATTGAACAAAGCCATGTTTACTTGATGTACACACATTGAACTGCATAGACTGGTGTCTTTATTCAACCTTACCAGTCATGTATGTAACCATGTTCAAGAAAACCAGTACTTATTTAAAAAGAAAGGAAACCTTAAAATACAGCTCTTACCTTTTCCCCCTGCATCCCACTCCCCAAGTAGTTATAAAAAAAAAAAAAACCTCAAAAAACAGTGCTTACCAACATTTTGCCATCAAGGTCCATGACAATGGTTACATCCTTTGTTGGCTTCGTCGCCCAGTGCCAGTGTGTGCAGTTTCACCCCATAGACATATTTTGGGAAACAGATTGACTCTTATCCTCTACCACATCTACCCACCTACACTGAGCATCAATACAAGAAGGCATTTTTCCAATGACCAATGTAGTATTGTTAGAGTACAGCAAAATGTTCACTATCTGCATTCTGTTGTTGGCATTACCCATTTAATTTAAAGCTACATTACTGAAAAAATGTTGTATACAGTAGGTGGGTGTTAAATACTCTAGGCATGCCACATTCTTCATCAGTACAGAAAGTGATTGGATTCTTATTAATTCCACATTCTTTATTATTTATAAAATTTTGAATAATTAATGGATCGTGCTAAAGTTCCACAAGCTGCAGGTGTAATCATTTTACATGTGTAGAGGTTCCCTGACAGTTTATTTATTTCAGGTACTTATATAGCAGCCTCTCTCAACTGGGGTACCTTGAGGTTTCTTCAGGGGTGCCTTGGCAAAATGTCTCAAAATTGCCCAAAATTTGTATACAAGCCAGTTGGTGGAACAAGCTCACCTTTTAGCTACAGGTTTTCATTGTGCACCATTACGACCTTCTAGCCGCTGGCGTCCTGACAACCAATGACATAATCAGTTGATAAGGAGGTTGTCAGGAACCTGCACAGCATCCTTGTTTGATCATCCCCTACCTCTCTCTGTCAGTGCTGGGGTCACATTAGCTCAGTGATGGAGAAAGTGAGGGAGAAGAGAAACATGGGAATACTAGTCAGTACCAGTGTGCAAAAGTGTATTTGCTTTGGAAGCATAAATCACCTCTAATGTTGGGTGTCCTACATGTGTGGATGTTGCTGCGTTATATAAAGCTATTATAATAGTTTTTCACACTTTAAAATGGGATGCCTCGAGACTGTCCATAATTTTAAAAGGGTGCCTTGATGGAAAAAAGGTTGAGAAACACTGTTATATAGCACCATCAACTTACTCAGCACTTTACATATATATTGTACATTCACATCAGTCCCTAACCCTCAAGGGGCGTACAATCTAAGGTCCCTAACTCACATTCATACATACATATACTAGGGCCAATTTAGACAAGATCCAATTCATCTACCAGCAAGTCTTTGGAGTGTGGGAGGAAACCAGAGTACTCACAGAAAACCCACACAGGAACAACATGCAAACTCAAGGCAGGTGGTGCTGTGGTTGGCATTCGAACCAACGACCCTAATACTGCCAGGCAGAAGTGCTAACCACTTAGCCACTGTGCTGCCCACAGTTTAAAATTTGTTCCAAGGCTCTTGGCTGTAAATATGTTGAGAAAAGCCAAAATGTAAATACTTCCTTAATGTGGGAGTAAACTCCCACTAGATACTTGTGCCTACAGCCAGGCTTATAATAATGCTTACCTGTAGGTACAAGGAACATCTCCTACACATGCACTGTTTAGGAGATATTCAGTGTCCCTGCAGCTGGTGACATCACGACGCATGCACTCTGAAGAGAACGGCATACCATGCTGGACCTTCAGAGCTCTGCAGCGGCCGAAACTCGCACGTGCATGCATGGGAGTGACGTCATCACAGCTCGGCCAAAGCCCAAAAACCCAGAACGAAGACTGGGTGAAGATGGAAGTTCTGAGGGCTTCATTCTTAGAGAAGTCTTTCATATTATGCTAGTACCACCTGATGTCTGGCTCGCGCAGCTGGGGTGCAGGAATAGCACCTGTTCTAACACCCGTATTGCATTTCTTTTGCGAGATGCGTGGGGGTGCTATTCATCCTGA